GATATGGATTCAATATAGATTGAATTTTCTGTGAAATTACTGCAGTAGTTAATTTTTCGAACAATTTTGGAATGGCACTTAATTTTGCAATTCCTCTATAATTTGACACATTAGTAAGACTACCAGATTTATGTAAAGGTGTAATATAAGATTTTTTCCAGAAAGTAGGAAAGTGACCAAATTTAAGTGAATAATTAAACAATATAGTTAACGAAAGTGCTAATGTTTCTAAACAATATTTAAGAATTATATTAGGTTTGCCATCAGGACCTGGACATTTAATTGATTTTAAGCTACGCAGACTATTGGACACATCCTGACGTTGTAGAAAAGGCATACAAATTTGATCAGCCTGTGATAACTTATAAAGATACGAATCTTTAATTTGGCAAGATGTACTGGAATAGGTTGTGGCAAAAAAATCTGCGAAACATTCAGCAATATCTGTGCCTGTGACAAATTCTTTATTGTTATATTTCAATACTGAGGGCTTTGAGGAAACTTTTCGTTTTAGATTAACAAAATCATAAAAAGATTTAGGATTGGATTTAAAATTATTTTTAATCTTGTCTAGGTAAAGATTATACAATCTACAAGACTCTAAAGTATATTTAGATCTAGCAACAGAGTATTTTTAGAATTCTTTAAACTTGATAACTCAGGGGTTATCCATGGATATTTATTTGAATTTTTAACTCTATTGGTTGGAACACATTCCAGTTTAAATCTATTTAAAATATCATAGAATTTATCAATTACATATTCTAAATCTTTATGGCTATTACACAGGCACACAGAAGCCCAATTTATGGAGGAAATGAGGGTATTAAGTTTTCGAAAATTAGTTTTTTGTAATTAAGGACAGTTTTAAATGAGTCGGACTGACTTTCTTCAATTACATAACTGTGAGTCATGAAGATATACAAAATTGGATGGTATATATCTTCAGGAGTGCATATTGGAGGAGTTCTGAATATATCAGAATGCTGTGTTATATTTACAAACGCCAAATCAAGAATTTTGCCGTGGGAATTTTTCACACTATTTAGTTGATAAAGATTTAAGTCACACAAACTATTTATAACATCAAATGTATACTGGGTACTGTTCATTTCGGATGGCAAAGGAATCAAAGCTTCAGAATCTGGCATTGGAAGCCACTTAATGGAAGGCATATTAAAATCACCAAGGATCAGAATGTGATCGGAATCTTTCATTTTTTCAGTGATTAAACTTATTGCTGATAAATGCTGATTATAAATGTCAAGTGAAGATGTAGGGGGAATATAAGAGCAAGTTACAAACAATTTAGGTTTGCCAAATTCAATGGAAACACCAACAAATTCTATATCAAGAAAATCATTTAGATCAATTAAATTAGTGGTATATTTGGTATCAACTGCAATAAGGACGCCACCACCTTTTTACAAACACGATCTTTTCTAAATATTTGATATTTTGAACATAAAATTTCACTATTTAATATAGATGTTTTTAACCAAGTTTCGGAGAAAACCAATACATTATAATTGAAACCAATGCTATCAGTATATAAACTGGTTAATTTTGTATTAAGCCCCCTTACATTCTGATAGCAAATAGAAAATGAGTCATTTAGTTTTTTGGCACCGAATCTGGTCTAAGAGGCAAATGAGCTAAGTTATCGGATCTCTCCACAAATTCTTTAATAAATGCCCTAGCAGGCCAAAATTCTTTTAAAATCAACTGTACAAAAATATTTTCAGGCACAACGATTTTGAAAGAAGATCTACTTTCAGAAAATGCAGATCGGAGCTTATAGCATCTCAAAAAGTAATCTCCCTCAATTTTTGATTTTATATAATACATTATGTCATCGGCCGTTGTTTCTGGCGCAAACCTTGTTGCAAATATCATTTTCATGGCGGGAGCCATAGATAATGATCATTGGACAGGTTGAGTTTTGCCAGTAGCAGGTAATGTTAATATGGTAATTTGTTATATTTCATAGTCGTCTCCAATTGTTGTTATTGAAATTCATCAAAAATAATTCTGCAATCGCATATATCAACTTTATAATTTTATTTGTTGTCTCGTTGCATCATTATTGGTGACATGATTTTTGCCTTTTTTCGGTGTTTCAGCACGGATTCCGTCCACAACATTATTAGACGCCATTTCCACACATATTAGTAGAGGATTGCACCAGAACAAGCCGTGTGATAGAGCAGTGTTGGTAGCCCTTATCCTATGAAAGGCATTTGATACGGTTAATTATGCTACACTGTTTGAGGACATGCAGAAAACTATCCTACGGCCATGTTTGAAACGTTGGATAATCAACTATATGTGTGGACGCCTGTCGAATGTGAAATTCCGGAAGAAGAAATTCAAAGCCTGTAATAGAACTAACTCCGGAACTGTTTACCACTACCTTTCCTCGCCCTCCAGACGGCATAGAGATAGTAACGTATGCGGATGATTGGTTGATGACATATGTGAAAGGAGATATCTCGCGGAGCTTTCCGCATACTTTCACGCAAGGAATGTGAGACGGGCCACACTCTTTACCACATCCTCTGCGGAGATGCGAATACAGCCGAATGTGAAGTCGAGGGAAATTTAATAACCTCAAGATTCTAAGGGTCACATTCGACAGCATGTTCAAATCGTCCGCACAAGCAACAGCTATCTGCGACAAGATGAACAGTAGGAACAAGGTTCTCGAGGCCCTAGCCGGCAGCACATGGGCCGCGGACAAGGAAACCTTGTTGGCCTCTTATAACGCGATAGGTCGCTCTGTGGTCAGCTATGGGCTCCAGTGTGGTTGCGAATACTAGTGCTACGCGGTGAACATGTCAAAATGCTGCCCTGAAAACTGCTACAGAGAGCGAAAGCCGAGGAGGCGAAAGTCCTTCCCTTAGGTCAGCGTAATCATAGGCTTTCGTTGCAGTACTTAATTGGATGTTACCGTGGCAGTCATCCCAGCCATCATATGGTGGATATAACTCTCTCATCCAGGCGTGTCAGAAAGGACATACATGATCTAGGGAGGGATGTCTAACGCTATAAGAGAAACTCTAGATCAAGAAGCCTATCAGGCAGGTCTGAGTGGCATTCATACCGATGTAGTCGCAGATGCCATCAGCAATTACAGTATGAATGCCATCCTCGGAGTCCACCCACATCCATTGCAGCTGAAGAACGTCAGTAGCCTAAACAAACCAGGGTAGTTTGGCGCAATTACGTTCAGGACGGTGCAGTTGTCTTAATTCGTATTGGGTAAGAATTAACGAAGATGTACGTGACGTCTGCCGGGCGTGTGTTAAAGGCCCGCACAATACGCTGCACGCCAAATCTACCCACCGCACCACCAAATCTACCCACTCCAGAAGATCTCTGGTTAGAGCCCATTAGCCGAATTTTTAAACCTGGAGCTTAGCAGAATACAAACATCTCAGGGAAGAGTACGAAGAAGTGGACCGCTGGGAACTACGTTTCTGCGCCGCGTCGACTCAATCCGGAACAATTTCTAAAGTGCTCCAATTTTCTGCATCCATTAATATTTTTTTAAGTAGGCATGAGATTTTCTCTTTGCGACCCAAGGGTTTTCCAAATCAGATAATTTTAAGACTCTAACCTACAGATAGATCCTAACACCGACTACGCAACTATAGGTGGGAGCATGTCGTGCAGTGAGTAGTACCTGTTCCTGCCCTCTTGAAAAATCGATCCGCACTATGTGTCACGATCATGATAAATTGTTGGACTCCCTTTGAGGCCATACTAAAGACGAAAATCGAAAGAGAATATAAGGACGACCAAAATCTACCCAAAATGTATTTTCGTAAAAACGAGAGAAACAAATGCAAAAAATTAGTGGGTTACCGCAATATACTCTCTTTGCAAATCAGTGATGCAAAAAATTAGTGGGTTACCGCAATATACTCTCTTTGCAAATCAGTGATTTATCTAAATGTATTGACTTTGTGCATTTACGAGGTAACCCATTCACGCCAGTTTATGTCACAATAACTAGGTACGTGTCCGATACGACGAATTTCTACCATTTTTTCATGCAGTATTTGAACATATTTTTAGCAATAATAGCAATAAACTAGCTGATGAATTAGATTCTGTAGCTGGCTTTCAATTTCCTACTAAATTCCCATTATGATGGGGATCATGATGTGTACGCGATCCCTGCGTAAAGGAGGAGGGGTGGGAATGTGAGGCCTGGGAACGTTCGGAAATATATAAAAAAGAACATAGTTTTCTTACTGTGCTATTTTTATTTTATTTATTGATGAACATTCCCATATTTAAGAATGGTGCAAAATATCATCGTCATCACATTAATCTCAATTATTGCGAACAGTGAGTGAGTATTTCCATTTTTATTCTCATTACATTTGGTTTGCTTAATAAAAGCCCGCAAGCATCTTGGAGCCATTGCAAGTTTTTGCATCCACTCTATGTTACTGAAAGTAAGACATTTTAATTAAATTCACCCGTTTATGTGTCCGTAAATTGAAATATTTTTACATATATTTTCTGGGAGAGGGCTTTCGTAAATATGCACAAGAAATTATAAATATAGGAAAATTTTTTGGGAAACATCACATTAAAGTTCTAAATATTTCCAGTTTTGTAATATCGACGGCATAGAAATCTCATTCACGACAGACATGTGGAGCGATGATTGTACTCCAAGGAGTCTTATTTATAATAATCTTTCGATTAGGTACCATGTAGAAAGCTTTCTATGTATTGATTTGTTAAAATAAAAAAAATTGTTGTTAATGTTGTAACAGCTACACATGTTGACTAATAAAACTTTGGATCGCGTGGTGTTGATACCTAAATTACCTTGGTTGGTCTTACACACTGGAAAACCTTAGGGGCCTATAGCTCGGGAAGTATGGACTAGCGTCGTACTCACGACCCTCGGAAAAATTTTCGAAGTTGTCGGTAAGGGAGGTCAAAACTGTACTTGTTTCATACTTTATGGCAATACTTACCATTTCGCGTGTTCAAACCAAGGATCGTCCTCTTTCTCCCAAGAACGTAATCCCATATTGCAATGAAAACAACGAACTTGATCATCTACACCCTGATAGTACAGCCCCGACAGAGCCAAACTTTCGGGTTTTTGGATATCGGGAATTGGCCAGTTCGTATAGGTACGTAGTCTAGCATCCAAAGAGGAATATTTGGGATTTTTTGCGGGAGAAATTTGTTGAATGCCCAAATCTCTTATTCCAGCACTAGCCATTTCGATCAGAGGTCCTAATTGAGCGCGGGGACAACCGGGAAAAAATCGACGGTGTTCCTGAAATGCGTTATCTTGTTTTTCCCACTGCGCAATTACTCCTTTACACCAAGCGCACATAACTTGATCTGATCGATTCAGGTAGAAAAATCCAGCTTTCGCCAAAGACTGAGGAGAAATGTTTGGGTTCTACGAAACGAAAAGAAATGTTCATCAATTTTGTATAGATATATGTATATTTTTTTAATACCGGCCAATTTCTAAATGTTGCCAATCTATTTGCTTCTATCATCAAATCTGACGATTGTTGTGTATCAGAAGTCATCTGAGCAGAGGCATTGTCAACGTCTGAAGTTGTGTGTGGAAATTCCTGTGTTCGTATATTTCCACAATTAGCATTGTCTCTAACAAATTCGCAGTGAGGACTAACTGCCAAATGTCTTTGTTGCACATCATCACCGTACTCCCAGTCGCTAATACAGCAGTTACACCAATGACAGCTTGCTTCAAGAAAGTTTCCTGTCGCATAAAAACCATTCTGGGCTAATACTAGTGGATAAACGGGCGCATTGACAGGCCAAGAGGCAAAGGTTTTTATTCGCTCTTCTTCAGAGTTCATAATTTAGGAATTTGACAATTAGACTCGATGTCAAAAGAATACCATATGCTGTTAAGAACAACAACAAGACGTTCCAACAACAATTTAGTTGTTTATATATTTCCACTTTATTCTTTTATTACAAAATTAAAAAAATTATATATATTATGTATATTATGGAAATTTGGAAGTACAATTCCACCACTTATGGAGCTTATGGAGACGAGAAAATCCGACAGCGCAACAATGAAGAGCGAATTATGAGAGCATTGGAAACAAAAATGAAAAACGTCCCAACGAAACGAATATGAAGGCCACAAAGGAATACCTGATAAAAAAATAAACGAAAGCAAAGACTCGGGGTACTCTGTTGTTTACGAATGAGACATGAGAAAATTGAACATCTTAACTTAAAGTGCCCTGGAGACGCTCAAATTTTTTCATCAAGCAAGTGCGTATGTATTAGTGTGTAACTTCGTATTTTGCCCGCAGATGTACAAACAAGATTGTCAAACATTCATTTTGTAATTATTTTCGTTGAGTGCAGTCATGTCGTCGTCGGAAGATGAGTGGCTTCTCGTGACAGCAGTTGTGTTAAATTGGAAATGAAAAAGAAAATATGGATGAAAAAGTGGTATGAACAGCGCAAAAGATTTACACATGAAAACCTCTTAAAGGAGTGCGAATGAGTAGTTTTGATGACTACAGAAATTTTTTGAGGATATTTACTTTTAATATATTTATTTTTTTTAACATCTTCAACAGTACCATCGGGGTACTGTTCCTTATAAAAATCAAGGAGTATATTATATTGTTTTTTCTTCTCATCCCTATTACTGTACGCGTCTGTCCGCACGTTCCACAATGCATCAAGGCATTGGTACATTTCAATAAATTTTATTGTAAATTTTTTTTCGTCCGCGCACTTACTATTCATGTTTACTCCTCAACGTTACAACACAAATGGGAATTTGCTTGACAAACAGTAATGGAGACGTTCAAATAGATTTGCGCAAATAGAAATATCAAAATATTTTGATTTTCCATCAAGCAGAGCCGACAACAAATGTGTGTAGCCGACGAAAGCCAATTAGACTCACATGGACACACACATATAAGCTGCTTGACCGAACTCGTTAGCCGAACTCGACTATGGACTTTGTTGAAAACCGAGTACTCGACTCACGGAGAGTAGGGATAGGTAAGTCGACTTCCGATTAATCGAATAATCGACTTTAAGTGCTTAAAAATCTGAAACTCGACTATGGACTTGGATGAAAACCGTGTAATCGACTATTAATAGTCGATTGTTCGCTCTCAGTGTTCGAAAATAACCAGTACACAAACATAGTGCACCGTGCCGGTACAGTATCACTAAAAAAAATATTTTAGTGATACTGTACCGGAACACAACGATAATCGTAGCGTTCCGCAATCGGAGCAATAAAAAAATCCTAGTGTACGACATGCACCACATTAAAAAAATCGAAATCATAAAACTGATTTTTTTATTTATTTTCAAGTTGTACAGTACAACCTAGCCGACATGGCCATGGACGGTTCCAAAAACTTCTATACATGACTACTCTAAATTAATTATAAAAGACTTACTTAAAATTAAACACTAAAACAAATTAACAAAAAATGAACAAAATTAACAATTGATTGATGGTTCAAAGAACTCCTATACATGACTACTCTAAACTATTCATAACATCATTAATCTTAAAAATCATATTAACAATAAAAAAAATTAACAAAAAAAATGTGAGCAAAAATCAGAATTCATTGAAGAATTAGATAAATCAACTATGCAAGCGAAAAAAAAAACAAATTAACACAAGAATACCATATATTTCAAACAATATCGAAATGAGCATATAATTTACGTTTATAACATTTTAGGGAAGAATTAAATGTCTTAAGATTAGGTGGCAGATTGTTGAAAATGCAAGCATTTCTTACTTAGAAAGATTTTTCCAACACAGGAGTCAAGCGTGGTATAACAATTTGCAGGTTCCTTACAGATCTCGAAAACTTAAAAAGATCCAAAATAGCAGAAGATGTCCTCAATTTAAAATGTTTGTAGAAGAACAAGATTGACCTCAAATTCACAAAACACTCAAACGAACAAAGTTGGCAACCCTGTTGTGATTAGTGTCAAAAAATAGTGGTGCTCCGTGCTTTTGAAAAAAAAATTAAGACATATGTTTTATTAAATTAATTAATCTGGTAAAAAGGTGTATTAAAGTGTTCAATAGTGATTTTGTAACTCAAAGTGATAATTGGTGTAGTGTTTTAAAATTTTGTTTTGTCTTTTAAAGTAATATCAATTTTCAAATTGTGTAGTTGTACATTCTCCTTTTATCCTCATTCTTTTGTTACATTAGCTAATTAGTTGTTGTAACATATCGTCTTGTTTTGTTTGTGATCTCATAAGAGTTGCCAACATTTAAAAAAGAATTTAAAAAAGAATAAAATAAATAAATAAATAAAAAATTCTTGCTACAGATCTAATCTTGAAAAATATAGCTGTAATTTGTGTATTAAAAAAGAAATAATTATAATTAAAATAAATAATAATTAAAATAAAAAATCTCGTGCCCTTTTGAATTATGTAATATTGTTGCAGAGGATGAATTGTGTGTTACCTGTTGGTTTTGTCTTAATCAATGGCATGCAAAATGTGCTAGGATTAATGCAAAAGTTGTAGACACAATTAGAAGTAATGTTGGTGTTCGTTGGTGTTGTGTGCAATGTAGGAAACTCTCTGCAGACTTTTAAAATTTTGTAAAGGAATTGCAGTCGGAATTGACATCGATGAAAAAAGATTTTTCCTCACTATCACTCAGATTCGAGAATTTCTCTACATTGTTTGAGAAATACCAAGAATTAGATGAGTTTGTGTCGTCACCGTCAGTTTCTGGCAAGAAACGCAAAAGGGCTGCGAAAAAGGCACCAACTAAGGGAGTGCCGAGTCGCTAAGCAATAGTTTCTGTGGAGAACACTATTCCACAACCGGTTTCAGTTAATACCACTGAAGCAACTGAGACTGGACGTGAACAGTCGTATGCCAGTGTTGTTACACACCCAGTTCCGGTAGATAACAGCGGTATAGGTAAGTGGGTAAATAATCCTGAAGTTATGAGTATTGATAGTGAGGTTTCTAAGAAAACCTCCCAATCTACTCGTAACATACAGGAATTATTACTTCCTTCACTTATAACTAGTACTACTGGCAAAACTCAACCTGTCCAAAGATCATTATCTATGGCTCCCGCCATGAAAATGATATTTGCAACAAGGTTTGCGCCAGAAACAACGGCCGATGACATAATGTATTATATAAAATCAAAAATTGAGGGAGATTACTTTTTGAGATGCTATAAGCTCCGATCTGCATTTTCTGAAAGTAGATCTTCTTTCAAAATCGTTGTGCCTGAAAATATTTTTGTACAGTTGATTTTAAAAGAATTTTGGCCTGCTAGGGCATTTATTAAAGAATTTGTGGAGAGATCCGATAATTTAGCTCATTTGCCTCTTAGACCAGATTCGGTGCCAAAAAACTAAATGACTCATTTTCTATTTGCTATCAGAATGTAAGGGGGCTTAATACAACATTAACCAGTTTATATACTGATAGCATTGGTTTCAATTATAATGTATTGGTTTTCTCCGAAACTTGGTTAAAAACATCTATATTAAATAGTGAAATTTTATGTTCAAAATATGAAATATTTAGAAAAGATCGTGTTTGTAAAAAAGGTAGTGGCGTCCTTATTGCAGTTGATACCAAATATACCACTAATTTAATTGATCTAAATGATTTTCTTGATATAGAATTTGTTGGTGTTTCCATTGAATTGGGCATATCTAAATTGTTTGTAACTTGCTCTTATATTCCCCCTTCATCTTCACTTGACATTTATAATCAGCAATAAATTTAATCACTGAAAAAATGAAAGATTCCGATCGCATTCTGATCCTTGGTGATTTTAATATGCCCTCCATTAGGTGGCTTCCAATGCCAGATTCTGAAGCTTTGATTCCTTTGCCATCCGAAATGAACAGTACCCAGTATACATTTGATGTTATAAATAGTTTGTGTGACTTAAATCTTTATCAAATAAACAGTGTGAAAAATTCCCTCGGCAAAATTCTTGATTTGGCGTTTGTAAATATAACACAGCATTTTGATATATTCAGAATTCCTCCAATATGCACTCCTGAAGATATATACCATCCAATTTTGTATATCTCCATGACTCACAGTTATGTAATTGAAGAAAGTCAGTCCGACTCATTTAAAACTGTCCTTAATTACAAAAAAACTAATTTTCGAAAATTTAATACCCTCATTTCCTCCGTAAATTGGGCTTCTGTGTGCCTATGTAACAGCCATACAGATTTAGAATATGTAATTGATAAATTTTATGATATTTTAAATAGATTTAAACTGGAATGTGTTCCAACCAATAGAGTTGAAAATTCAAATAAATATCCATGGATAACCTCTGAGTTATCAAGTTAAAAAAACTCTAAAAATAAACTTTTTCGTAAATATAAAAAATCAGGCTTAACAATAGACTACACTAATTACTCTGTTGCTAGATCTAAATATACTTTAGAGTCTCGTAGATTGTATAATCTTTACCTAGACAAGATTAAAAATAATTTTAAATCCAATCCTAAATCTTTTTATGATTTTGTTAATCTAAAACGAAAAGTTTCCTCAAAGCCCTCAGTATTGAAATATAACAATAAAGAATTTGTCACAGGCACAGATATTGCTGAATGTTTCGCAGATTTTTTTGTCACAACCTATTCCAGTACATCTTGCCAAATTAAAGATTCGTATCCTTATAAGTTATCACAGGCTGATCAAATTTGTATGCCTTTTCTACAACGTCAGGATGTGTACAATAGTCTGCGTAGTTTAAAATCGATTAAATGTCCAGGTCCTGATGGCATACCTAATATAATTCTTAAATATTGTTCAGAAACATTAGCACTTCCGTTAACTATATTGTTTAATTATTCACTGAAATTTGGTCAATTTCCTACTTTCTGGAAAAAATCTTATATTATACCTTTACATAAGTCTGGTAGTCTTACTAATGTGTCAAATTAAAGAGGAATTGCAAAATTAAGTGCCATACAAAAATTGTTTGAAAAATTAATTACTGCAGTAATTTCACAGAAAATTCAATCTATATTGAGTCCATATCAGCATGGTTTTCGTAGTGGTCTTTCAACTACAACAAATCTTATACAATTTACGTCAACAGTAATAAAAGGATTTG